AGAGAAAAGTAGTCACTCCCTTGTCCCCGGTCTCCGGCCGCACTCCGTGCTCACCTGGCCTGTGATCGAGCATTTTTATCTCTGGCACCCGACCCCGTGTGGAGTCTCCAAACCCAGCAGATCCGTGCAGTGCGCTCCCGCGCTGCTCCTCCCAGGGGGAGGAAGTGGAGTCTTCTCGGATCTGCCGCTTGTTGGGTCCCTGCTGGAGGAGCAGTGGCCTGACTGGGCCATGGATCACAGTTTATGGCCACCCCGAGCTGAGAGCCTGCGCCTCAGCTCTGTCTCTGCAGCCGGCTTCCCCGCTCCGGTACCTGGGAGCTCTGGCGCACTCAGGCACCCCCAGTCTTTCTGTGACCCCAAGGGTCCTGAGACCACACTGTCTGTGAGGGTTCCACCCCCCGCTTAGCCACTGGAGCGAGCGACGTCCCTCAGCAGAGCCGACTTCTAAAAGTTCCGATTTTGTGCTCCGCGGCTCTATCACTTGCCAGAAGCAGCCTCCGGAGGCCCCCTACCCTGCCGTCTATCCTCCCGAATATCGCCTTGGATTCACTTCTCCGCACATCCTACCTTCCAGAAAGTGGTCGCTTTTCTGTTCAGAGTGTTGTTACTATTCTTATCTTTGATCTCCTGTTGAGTTCATAGGTGTTCAGATTGGTTTGATCCCTATCCAGCTGAATTCCTGAGACCAGACGAAATCCAGGTCTCCTACTCCTCCGCCATCTTGCTCCGCCCCCCCAAGACCTAATTTTAGCAATTTTGACCAGTGTGAGGTGGTATCTCATTGTGGTTTTGATTTGTGTTTCCCTGATGCTGAAAAAATGTTATTTTTTTGTGTGTTTGTTGGCCATTTGTATATCTTCTTTGGAAAAATGTCTGTTTGTGTCTTCTGCCCATTTCTTGACTGGATTTTTTGTTTTTTGGGTGTTGAGCTTAATAAGTTCTTTATAGATTTTGGATACTAGCCCTTTATCTAAGACATTTGCAAATATCTTCTCCCATTCTGTAGGTTGACTGGAGAAAATGTGTCTTTTATTTATTTATTTATTTTTCTGTGGGAAAGACCAGTTTTTCTTTTAAAATTTCCATTTTGGATCCATCACAGATTGACACTTTTATAAAATGCAGTTAAATTGCTAAAAAAAATGAAATTGAAGAAAAAACATGCAAAACATAAGCCCATGTTTTAAAAAAATATGTTTCATTTTGAAATAATTTTAAATTTACAGAAAAGTAGCCAAAAGAGTGAAGATGCTATAAGGTATCAATGTTTGATTTCTTAGTTAATTTAATATTTGTGTCTCAAAAATTTTAGCTGGTTGCAACAATGAGTTATGTAATGCACTAATGGTGACAGAAATTTATAGTGAAAACTTATTTCATTAGTCAAAAATATAAAGGTCAAATCTAGATGCAAAGAGAGTCATGTAAAGATACTTATACAAATTTTTAGAAGTGATTTTAGAGACATATCTCAGTTTCTGTGCCGATGGAGATGAGAGTTTTCATCTCTACCTTGGGCAAATAAGACCTATAATTCAATTTACCATTGCCAGAAATATGGATCAACTCTCAATAAAAGGAAGACCTGCTTTTCCCCAGCTTGTTGCTAATGAATGAACCCAAATCTTTAACACGAGCTCCAACAAAATGACTAATATTAATTAATAAAAAAAAACTTCCCTGACAAGAATGAGGTGTGTTTTATTTTACACTTGGATTAGAAAGGTGAGCTATATCATATCAGACATACATTATTTTTAAGCTTCAGAAATTGATTTTACTAAGCAACATTTTAAATTATTCTCTTATCCTGTATCAAGGGTTCCAGTGTAACAAACATTTTTCTTTTGGTATTCCCTACCCTGAGATTTCTAGCAAGCTAAAACATACTATACTGTTAATAGTAACTCATGGTCTGGATGCACATGATGCTAAGCCTTACTCTTGTAGTCTATCTCTCTTGCTGAAGTTGAACACAATTCTATAGCTCCATGAGTGTTAGGATCTGGAGATAGACCTGAAACTTTTCCAGGTGGTTCCATGAGGCTCAGTGGATCCCTTAGATATAGTCCTGCAACTCTCAAAGTTCTTCCATACTACTAACATCTTCTGTAGAAGCTGCAGATCTAACACATCACAACAAGCTAAGTATTATGCTGATTGTGATATAAATTATAAGTCAATGACTGTTAAATTTAAAGTGAAGAAAATGTACTTGCTCAGTCAAAAGCATTCATTTATAATTTAGACTATACTTCTGACCTTATGCTAAATGCTATTGATATGCTATCTTTTCATGGGATATTTGGCCCAGAGGCCCAGATAGATGTACAACTGGCACATATGTTATGATATGAACTGCTGTATTGTGAAAATTAAGAAGGTTCTTTGATAATGCAAATGAAAGATCTATTGACTTGGTCTAGGGCAAGCCTGTACCTGTCATTTAACTACTTGATTAACAAAAAATATGAACTAATTAAAAACAAATTACACTAACAGATCATCCCTAATTCCTACTAATATTGATGACTTTCAATACATTTTAAAGTCCAGATTTGTGATATTAAGGATTGACTGAAGGAAATTCAGTCTTTGCATTCATTTATATATCTGCAATTTAACATTTAAAAGAGAAAGAATAATAGAGAACTTTATACCAGGATCACAATGATGTCAACATTGTACCCTTATAAAATTGTATTTACCAAAACTTCTTTTCTTGTTATTTCCTTGGTCCTATGAGGTACACTATATGAAACAACAAGAAACATCCATTATTTTTATTATAGAGATGCTACTGGGAATGCCATAAATTATAACAATTAGAACTCACGCAAAATAACACTTCTCCCATCTCAATATCAGGAATCTTGGGCCTATCCAGAACAACTTGTTTTGATTAAGTTTTGGTGAAACATAATTTAGAGTTCTTTCTTTGTGTAGCCAAAATGGCTGAAGGAAAATTTAAATCCCAATTGTAGCAGTTTTTAAGCAGCATGGCATAAATTATTTTTGTAGCTTCAAGTTTTTATTTAAAAGCCAGTTAGTGCAGCGCCTGGGTGGCTCAGTCGGTTAAGCATCTGCCTTCAGCTGAGGTCATGATCCCACGATCCTGGGAACAAGCCCCACATGGGCTCCCTGCTCAGTGGAGAGTCTGCTTCTCCTTCTCCCTCTGCCCTTCCTCCCTTACCCTACCCCCGATTGTGCTTTGGTGCTCTCTCTCTCTCTCTCTCAAATAAATAAATAAAATCTTAAAAAAATAAAAAATAAAATGCCATTTAGCATATAGTGTAATATTAGTTTCAGGAGTAGAATTTAGTAATTCATCACTTACATATAACACAGTGCTCATCACAACAATTACCCTGCTTACTACCCATCACCCATTTAACCCATCCCCCTGCCCACCTCCCTTCCAGCAACCCTCGCTTTGTGCTCTATAGTTGAGTCTGTTTTATGGTTTGCCTCTCTCTCTTTTTTCCCCTAGGTTCATCTATTTCTTTTCTTAAATTCCATAGATGAGTGAAATCATATGGTATAAATTTCTGTTTGTGAATTTTATAATTAGATTATATTTTCTTGTTCATATTTTGCCTAAGCCCTATTTCTACCAATTTCTATCTCTTTCTATTTTACCACCAGAATTCTTGCAAACTATGTCAATTCAACAGTTAAATGGGTGGCAGGGTAAATATATGAACAGTAAGCAATAAGTAAAAAACAGATTTGAGTTGCCTATAAGATGACTTAGAGAGGCTCCCAAATAAGATGGGAATAAATAGTAAGATGGCTTTAAGTGGATGAAGCCCCCTTGAAGAAATAAGTGGTCTAAGATAGAAGAATAAAAGGATTAAAAATGACTAAAAAATTATCTTGAACATGATCATGGTCTTTTGGCTCTGATTGAGAATTTTTTTTTAAGGATAGTGTAACCATGCATCAGCAATATGAAAAACAGTCATACTTTTCCATTCATAATATTTGCTATACATTTTATAAGAAGTGAATTATGAAAATGTATCTGCACCCCAATATAGATTACATGAAATGTTTTGTTTATTTTGCTTTTTCAGTGCCTACTATCCCCAGTAACATTTCTCCTCATTCTGGAAACTGCCTCTTCGTTCCTTCCCAATTTATCAACACAGATCCTATGGGAGTCACCTTACAAATACACAAACCCCAAAGTAGTTTAATAATTCTAAATGCCCTCAATTCAAAATATAAAAATATGAATGTGCTCTAATCATATGTAATTGTTAAAGTTTTACCAAGTTGTAAAGACCTCTATTTATGTTGATATTCATATAAAGTTTTTTTCTAGACCTTCAGATTACAATATTTTAATAGTCCACTAATAGTGTACTATTCTCATGATTTTTACTTCTTGTTATTTTGGCACCCAAGGGCATTATTTAGATTCTGAGTGATGCTTGAAGGCTATGGATCTTGGATAACGGTTACTTATTTTGGAAAGGACTTCGCAAAATAAACATGGGTCAGTAAGAATGATTCCCTGGGCATTTATAATGGGAAAAAGGATTCCAATGGGTATGGAAATGTCTTTGAACTAATGAATATAATTAATTTGGGCAATCAGTATTTTCTTCCTCGTGAACTGAGAAATGTAGGAAGACATTCTTAAACAAGAAAAAAGAATGTAAAATATGTGTAGAAAATAGATAATGTGAAACAAAAAGGTCTGAGGAAGTTCAGGTGGTATATTTCACTTGCTTTTCCCTTGGATCCCTTGAGACAATAAACATCATAATGGTTCACTTTTGCATTAAAATTTTTGTGTGAAACCCAAAGATTTAAAAAATAAGTGTCACCTGTTTGTGTTTTTTTTTAAGTTTCATTTGTTGCCACAAATTTATTATATTAACTGAAAATCTGCCACAGTGCTCTTTTTCAATAGTACTTCTCCCATGCATAATGATTGGAGAATATAAGAATAAATATGTGGGCGAATTACCCAAGTGAACCCCTTCTCCATGTTAGTTGCCCTTGATGTTCAGTTTAAGCGCCTTATACAAGCCCTGCCTGAGCTCCTTGTTCTTGAGTGCATACACCATGGGGTTGAGGGCAGGAGGAATGACATTGTGTAGTACATTGAGTAGAACGGGGATGAGGGGAATAGTCATTGCTGCACTATGAGTGAGAGAAATGACTATGATGACTGAAGGATCAGGATGAGGTGAGAAGTGCAGGTACTTAGGGCTTTGGATGCAGCTTCTGCTGAGTTCAGCTTCAGCACCGAGTGAAGTATCAAAGAATATGATAAGAAAATCAAATCCAGGTCACTCCCCATCAGTGTCCAGGCCAGAAGTACCTGGTAGATGCTGTTGATTGTCCTGTCATCACAGGACAGGAGAGTGACTCCAAGATTAGAGCACAGGCAGTGCTCAATTTGGCTCTGTGAGCAGTAGTGTCTCTGAGCAGCCAACACAGGTACTGGGATGGTAGCTAGGCTGGTTCTGAGTGCCATGAACACAGTTAGCTTGACCACAAAAGAATCAGTAATGGATAGCGTAGTGGTCTACAAATGGCTATGTATCTATCTATAGCCATGCAGACAAAGATACCTGACTCCATGCCCACAAAACAGTGTATGACAGACATCTGAGCAAAGCACTCAGGGAGACTGATGGCCTTAGCACTAAACTATAAGATGGCCAAAATCGTGGACATGATGGTGGTAGCCAATCCCATGTCTACCATAGCCAGGATCCCCAGGAAATAGTACATGGGCTGGTGCAGTGTGGCCTCTTGTTTGATAGTGATCAGGATAAGGATGTTGGCAATGAGTGCTAAGAGGTAGAGCAGAGCCAGGGGCAGGGAGAGCCAGTGCTGCCAGGTGTGAAGATCTGGGAATCCCGTCAGGATGAACTCAGACACCTGAAACTTAGAGATGTTGGAATGTGTGAGATCCTGGAACACCCTTCACTAAGAGAAAAAAAAATATTCAAAGTTACTATTCTATTAACTCTCAGACAGTATTTGAAAAGGAGTTACCTAGGTTCATGATACTGAAAGGGGGATTCATGTTCATTATTCTCATTCCACTATTAACATTAATGGGATATTGTTATTAAACTGGAACTGTGGTAGTGCATTTCATATCATAAGTCATTTAATCTCACCACCACTCTATAAGGTGGGTCAGAAGATTTCTACTCTCTCATCATTGAGGAATAGAACATTACAGTAATCTGGATCTTGCTTATTATCTTCCATATTAGGTCTTGGAAGTTTGACAAGAAGAAAACCATCTGATATCATAGCCTGGTCTTTAAGTTTGACTTTGCTAATGGATAGCTTTCTTTGTAGACCAAATGCAAGTCTCAGAGTCTCAGAGGCTTTCATGCATGGAGTCTTCCCAGATGACAGATTAGGTCATGGACTTAAGGATTTCTTAAGTGATCACAAATATAATTTGTCATTAAAATACATGAGGTCAGTTAGTATTTCAATTTTATATGTGGTAAAGTGATATCCAGAATGCTAGTTGCCTATCTAAATCCATACAACTACAAAAGAGATAATATGGTTTGGAAATATCAGTATTTTTAAATCAGTTCTTACTGGTTTTGTGCAACTTTCCCCTATTTGGACATGTTTGAAATAGTCCATACAGTCACATTATAATTAATAAAGCAGAAGTGAAAACAAAAAAAAAAATGACAAACTAATGAGTTCAGGATCAATGTTCTGATCAGAAGTTCTGCTAAAATCAAATCACTAAATAAGATACTTTTTTGATATAGTATTTTATTAATATTTTAATTTTAAAATGAAGGCAGATTATATTGTATGTTCTTTCAAAATGTGCGCTATTTATTTCTTTGCTAAGTATTTCATATACTAAAGGTTCAACATAAAGAACATTTAAAAATTATTGTGAATTAAAATTATATTACGTACAGAAAGGCAATGTGGATTTATTCACCTAATCCAGATAATGGCACTCTATACTATGCTATAGTAGTTTGAAGATAAACTATATAGGATAAAAACTCTAGTTGTCTATGGTTTGGCATTTTAACACCCAAAATTGAACAGTGAAATAGCTTTGGGCATGCTATTTTGAGTACTGATAGTGCGATTCCTTCATCAGTTCAGAGCAGTGGAATATCTTCAACTTCACTTAAAAGACTTATAGACTCTAACAAATAAATAAAATCTTAAAAAATAAAAAAGGGATACCTGGGTGGCTCAGTTGGTTAAGACAAATAGAAAGACTGTTTCTAACTTTCCAAAGGACCAAGGATGTTTATCAGTGTCTAGTTCATTAAGTCAATATACATATCTCCCCCAAAAGCAAAGGCATGGTATTTGTGTCATCTATATCATTGGTTTATCCCAAGAGCCTGGCACTTAATAAGTACTCAGTACATATTTGTTGTATGAAATAATATTGGAGGAGGATTAAACAGTTTATATGCCCATGATTCTTTCATTATTCATGAGGAAGTTTGAACTATTAACACACATATTAACATATGAATTCACATATGAATAACATATAAATGAACATTATGTTAAAAATGTAAAGGAATGATGGTAATGGAGAATCATGTCAAAACATAAAGGGTTAGAAGAGAATAACAGATATGTTATCAAAATAAAAATAAAATTAAAAAAATAAAATAAGAGGTATTAGCATGAAAAAGAAAATTCATATACATCCATAAAGGCAGTAATTATTATAGAGTACATTTGCAGATTAAAGAAGGAATTTTCAGATTAAATTTTAAAAAACTACATACTAAATGATGTGGATGGAACTAGGGGGTATTATGCTAAGCAAAATAAGTCAATCAGAGAAAGACAAGTATCATATGACCTCAGTGATATGAGGAATTCTTAATCTCAGGAAACAAACTGAGGGTTGCTGGAGTGGTGGGGGGTGGGAGGGATGGGGTGGCTGGGTGATAGACATTGGGGAGGGTGTGTGCTATGGTGAGCACTGTGAATTGTGTAAGACTGTTGAATCACAGACCTGTACCTCTGAAACAAATAATACATTATATGTTAAAAAAGAAGATAGTAGGAAGGGAGAAATGAAGGGGGGAATTCGGAGGGGGAGACAAACCATGAGAGACTATGGACTCTGAGAAACAAACTGAGGGTTCCAGAGGGGAGGGGGATGGAGGGATGGGTTAGCCTGGTGATGGGTATAAAAGAGGACAAGTACTGAATGGAGCACTGGGTGTTATACACAAACAATGAATCATGGAACAGTACATCAAAAACTAACGATGTAATGTATGGTGATTAACATAACATAATAAAATAAAAAAAGAAAATAATAATTATACAGTGATGTATGGAACAATTTATAAGATAATATATTTGTGACTCACCTGAATCTAAACACCTAACCTTAACTTGAAAGAAATTCAAGTAGAAAATTATAAATTTAAAGTTAGGGTGAGAAATTTTAAAATATATTTCTTGAAACAAATATGTAAACAAAAATTGGTAATGATATAAATCTGATAGCAGTATTAACAATTGTGTATCAAAAGGTTTAAGTATAAACCTACATGCAAAAAATAGGAGATTATAGACCATTTTATTTTATTTTATTTTATTTTTTTAAAGATTTTATTTATTTATTTGAGAGACAGAGAGAATGAGAGAGAAAGCACATGAGATGGGGGGAGGGTCAGAGGGAGAAGCAGACTCCCTGCCGAGGAGGGAGCCAGATGCGGGACTCGATCCAGGGACTCCAGGATCATGACCTGAGCCGAAGGCGGTCGCTTAACCAACTAAGCCACCCCGGCGCCCGATTATAGACCATTTTAAACACACAATATCAGTCATGTTCTAGATCACAAATGAGAATTAACAAAAATATTAATATCATATGTAACATAAAAGAGACAAAAGAAATACATATACTTGGAAAGATTCAGTAATAGTATGAAGCAGTAAATGTTGCAAATATAATATAATAATGGAAATTGCAAAAAGGAAAGAATAGAAAAATAATGAGAAACTTAAAACTTTGGATGTATGATTAATAAATTTGTAAATTTAATAAACACCTAACAAATCTGTAACTTTAAATGGACATTTAAAGTTCATTTAACTTTTTTGTTAGTAATAGAGTAATCAATTAATACAAGGCATTATAGTAACTAACTTCAAATTAAAGAAAGAAAACAATAAAAAATAACAGCACAGTAGTGGAATCAAAAACAGAATTTTCAAAAAATGAAAGATATTATTTAAAGAATCATAAAAATAGGCACAATCTTGGGGATAAGGCAATGGGCAAAATGGGTAAAGGGTACTGAGAGATACAAACTTCCAGTTATGGAATGAATAAGTCACAGGGATGAAAAGCACAAAATAGGGAATATAGTCAGTGGTATTATAATAGCATCATATGGTGAAAAATGGTAGCTACACTTGTGGTGAGCAAGCATGGCATACAGACTTTTCAAATGACTATATTGTACATCTGAAACTAATGTAACATTGGACATTAACTATACTTCAATAAAAAAGACACAATCTAAGAAGTTATTCAACAGAAAACAAAAAGTTATGACATGATATTTGTAAAAACTATTTAAAAATATTAAAGGATAGGGAGCCTGTCCTCAGCCTGGGTGGCTGAGTCGTTAAGCGTCTGCCTTGGCTCAGGTCATGGTCCCAGAGTCCTGGGATCGAGCCCCGCGTTGGGCTCCCTGCTCGGAGGGAAGCCTGCTTCTCCCTCTCCCACTCCTCCTGCTTGTGTTCCCTCTCTCACTGTGTCTCTCTCTGTCAAATAAATAAAATCTTTTAAAAAAAATTAAAGGATATAATGAGTTACTTTATGAACCAAAATTGAACATTTAGGAACTGTACAATTATTTTTTAAGGTTTTATTTATTTATTTGAGAGAGAAGGAGAGGGAGAGCAGGAGCCAGGGGAGGGGCAGAGGGACAAGCAGGTTCCCTGCTGAGCAAGGAGCACCACTTGGGGCTTGATCTAAGGACCCTGAGATCATGACCTGAGCCAAAGGCAGATGCTTAACCAACTGATTCACCCAGGCACTGCTGGAAATGTATAATATTTTAAGGAGTGTAAAACTATAATTGACTAAACAGATAAATAAATTGTAGCAGAAGTTGGAAATGTATAAAATACCAGAAGAATTTGCTAGCAGATTTAAATTAACTCTTAAACAAAATTTACTTCTTAGAATATATAGTTATTAATTATATAAGTAATTATATAATTATATTTAATATTTAATAATTATATAATAATTATATAATAATTAATAACATAAATGAATTTTAGCAGAAGTTGGAAATATAAAATACCAGAAGAATTTGCCAGAGGATTTACTATTAAGTATTTTTTTAATTGTTATGTTAATCACCATACATTACATCATTAGTTTTTGATGTAGTGTTCCATGATTCATTGTTTGCGTATAACACCCAGTGCTCCATGCAGTATGTGCCCTCCTTAATACCCATCACCAGGCTAACCCATCCCCCCACTCTCCTCCCCTCTAGAGCCCTCAGTTTGTTTCTCAGAGTCCATAGTCTCTCATGGTTTGGCTCCCCCTCCGATTTTCCCCCATTCTTTCTTCCCTTCCTACTACCTTCTTCTTCTTCTTCTTTTTTTTTTTTTTTAACATATAATGTATTATTTGTTTCAGAGGTGCAGGTCTGTGATTCAACAGTCTTACACAATTCACAGCACTCACCACAGCACATACCCTCCCTAATGACTATCACCCAGTCACCCCATCCCTCCCATCCCCCACCACTCCAGCAACCCTCAGTTTGTTTCCTGAGATTAAGAGTTCCTCATATCAGTGAGGTCATATGATACATGTCTTTCTCTGATTGACTTATTTTGCTCAGCATAATACCCTCCAGTTCCATCCACATCACTGCAAATGGCAAGATTTCATTCCTTTTGATGGCTGCATAGTATTCCATTGTATATATATATACACCACATCTTCTTTAACCATTCATCTGTCAATGGATATCTTGGCTCTTTCCAAAGTTTGGCTATTGTGGACGTTGCTACTATAAACATCGGGGTGCACATACCCCTTCAGATCACTACAATTGTATCTTTGGGGTAAATACCCGGTAGTGCAATTGCTGGGTAATACGGTAGCACTATTTTTAACTTTTTGAGTTTATTTTTAACTTTTTGAGTCTGTTGCCAATCTAATGTTTCTACCAATGTAGAAACTCTCGTAGCTTCTCCCGAGCTGCTTTCAGATTTTCTCTTTGTCTCTGAGACTCGTAAGTTTTACTATTAGATGTCAGGGTGTTGACCTATTTTTATTGATTTTGAGGGGGGTTCTCTGTGCCTCCTGGATTTTGATGACTCCAGGCATC